TTTTTTAAGAATTATTTTATTTAACTTTATTTATTTTAATTTGACCAGAGAGGGACAGAGTGAGAGAGGGGGTAAGTGAGAAAGCAAGCCACCAGGTCTGGGACTAAAACCCTGGTTGACCATGTGGGAGTCCAGCATTCTTAACCACCATGCCACCTGCCAGTCCCAATAGATTCCCTTAACATGGGAAGGGTTTTCAGACGCTAAGTGCCCCAAATAATGGCAAATGTCCACCATACCCCTTGCTCTTAAAAACCTGGGTGTTTAAGGTATCAGGATACAGGGAAGGGCATTACAACTGATCATTTTTTTAAGTTACAAACCTTCCTAGAATCAAAAATGCTACTAACTTTAAAAATGATCAGTTGTAATGCCCTTCTGTGTATTCTAATATTTTAGTCCATAATTAAATATATACTATTTTGGTGAGTAGAAATGACTGGTAATCCATGAACCGAAAATGCTACTATTACTGTTGGCCTCTCATGCTTTGCAAATATTTAAGATTCCTTTCTGTGCATACTTCACAATTCCCCAAGGCGTTCCCCAGGTATTCATTTATGCAATGTTTTGAAACTATTCCAGACATGGTTTTAGAATGTCTTTTCCTCACTTTCCATAAGTTGTCCTATTTCATAAATTCAGAGGGCCAGACCGAAAGAATTCTGACTTAAATGTAAATTATCGGGGCCGGCAGGTGGCGTGGTGGTTAAGGGCACTGGACTCCCACATGGCCAACTGTGGTTCGAGTCCCGGATCTGGCAACTCACTTTCTCCCTTTCCCTCTCTCCTCAATCTGTCCCTCTCTGGTCAAATTAAAATAAATAAATAAATAAATGGATAAATAAAGTTAAATAAAATGATTATTAAAAAAATAACTAAGTGTGAGAAGAAGCCACGGGCCTTCAGGATAAGGTTCCACATGGCTACTGTGAACTAGATTTTTAAGGGAATGAAGACTTTCTACTAATAATTCAGCCTCCAACAAAAGAGCTAGCGGCAGAAGAAGCCACGGGCCTTCAGGATAAGGTTCCACATGGCTACTGTGAACTAGATTTTTAAGGGAATGAAGACTTTCTACTAATAATTCAGCCTCCAACAAAAGAGCTAGCGGCAGAAGAAGCCACGGGCCTTCAGGATAAGGTTCCACATGGCTACTGTGAACTAGATTTTTAAGGGAATGAAGACTTTCTACTAATAATTCAGCCTCCAACAAAAGAGCTAGCGGTAGGGAGCCCCCCTCTGCGCCCCCAGCCTTCTCTCTCGGTCTCTC